GCGCGGGACGCACGGCGGCAGCCCGCAGCGCAGGCTTGAAAAGCTCTCTCTCGCGGTGGAGCCGAGTGTCAGAGCTCGGCAGCCAATCTCCGGCAGACGTGACGTCAGGCAGTAAATCCTAATTGGGGAATCCGTGAGAGGAGCCCGAGATCGCGCCGCCACCCTCCACGGCCACAGGGTCGATCGTTCTGATGGGGTCCGACAGGCCCCCGGGTCCACCTTCCTGGAGAGGACAAAGGGCCCGACACACGTCGCCCAAGGTCCTCTCCTCATGGAAGCCGCACAGGATGCGTTTGCGAGTGCTTGGAAAGCCTTCTTTTTTAAGCCGTGTTCGCTCGGATTCTTGCTGTGGGTCTATGACCGGGATGTCCAGGCGGACCCCACAGGGGACCGTCCCGAGCTGCCCAGGAGAGCGCCTTTGGAGGCGTCCGGGTCTGCAGGCTCTGGTACCCTGCTCCCAGCTCCCGGCTCGGCGGGTACGCGGAGCGGGCAGCAGGGAGCGCCCGCGCACAGGGACCCCCGCCGCAGGCTTCCAGCGCAGCCAGCCCTGCGCGCGTAGTTTAGCATCCCTGACTGCCACAGCCCATTTTCAGTATTTCAAACGAAAAGTCGTGGGAGGGAGGGAGAGGGAAAGGGAAAGTCGCGGCTTCTAGGACACTGGGCTATTGTGAAAAGGCATGGGGAAAACGGGATACAGATCATGGTAGTGGTGAGACAACACGACAGACAACCTATCATTGACGGTGGAAAGGCAACAGCAACAAAAACGTTCCATCTCTACTCAGCGCAATAAAAACTAAGATAAAAGTCCCTGGGTCTCTCACCCTGGAGATGACACCAAGAACACGGACGACGCTGGGAGTCTACAGTGCTGTTTGGAGAAATCCGTGAATAATCATGGAATAATCATGAACTAATGGCATGGACTTCTAGCATCTGAATTCAAAACACTGTCACCAGGGGACTTCATGATTTGATTTCATAAATGTAATTAAAAAACCCGTGGTTGTAGCTGTCCGTTTTATAAAACGCCGTTAAGTTAAGAATGATGGCCTGTTTCCAAGGCCCTGGCTTATTGTTCCTCTTTATCCTGAGCCAGTGCCTCTTTGTTTCGTCATCGGCCTGCATTGGTGAGTAGACAATTGGTAGCAAGCAATAATGATCTAAGAAGTAATCATGGAAAATCTATTTGAAATTGAGGAAACTGAATCCATTCATCGTTTTCCCCTCTCTGTACATTAGAGAAAGAGCTCCCTTATTTGACTTGGCAGAAAAGCACCTCGGGCCAGCTGCCAGAGCACCAGTTTCCTGTGAGAACACAGCCTGAGTGCCACTCTTGGGCTCTAGATTAAACAGCACTGGAGTGGAGGTCTTCAACGAGACCTCAGCTCCAATCCGAATATCACCACTCATGAGCCACCAGGCTGGCCACCCGCTCTTCCTCCTCCGTAACACAGAAAAGTTGGGTTTAAAAATCTCTCCAGCCCTGTCTGTGGACAGCCCCCCCGCCCAAAAAAAACAAACATTCAGGGTCCACCTGGACAGATATCAGTGAGATCATCCAGGTTAACTTCTTGAGCCAAGGCAAAATGAACCAGCTGATTGCTATAGGGATGGATTGTAACTAGTGTCTCAGAACAAAAGATGTATAAATTGTTGAAGAGGGAAAAACTAATGGGCTTTATAAACTTTCACCACAACTACTATTTTTATTAAGTGAACCAGCTGAGAAGGCTGTGGAAGATCAGTTAGTCAAGAAGTTGCTTCCTAGCAAAGGGTTCTGTGATGAAGGGCACAATGCAAGCTAAGAAATATCCACCAAGTGCCTACTGCGCCTAAAACACAGAACCAGGAGATATAAAATACCAGAACGCACAACCTCCCTAGATGAATGAGAAACTTCCTGCCTGGTTAGAGAGGAGACATAAATAAATGGAAGTCCACTGGCTGGATTGAGCAACACCTTGGGATGATAGAACACTCCAGAGCAGGACTTAGTTGTGTGACGCCAGTATCACAACACAACCACAGGGTTCTGTCACCCCATGGAACACTGACAACATCTGAAGAACATATAACACTTTCTGATCAGTTGCCATCCCGTCCACCCTAACTCATGGATGCTGTATATGCAACAGAACTAAATGTCGCAGTGTCCTGCCCGGACCTCGTTGGTAGGTTGGAACCCATCGTTGTAGCTATTCTATCAACTCATCACATCAAGGATCTCTCCTTTATGGACCCGCTACCAAACACTGTGATGTTTTCTAGGGACTGGTCCATCCTGATGACATGTCTAAAGTAAGCAGGACAAGGTGTTGGCATCTTTGCTTCTATGGAGCGTCGACACGTATTTCCTCCCAGGCTGACGTGTGCGTTCTTCTGGAAGTCCTTAAGATGTTCCCTCTTCCTTTCCAATCTCAGAGTCGGAACTGATTTCACAATAGAAAGGGAAAGCGGTTCCTACCTACGACTAACGCCAGGTCATGGAGACTGTACAGAGAGCTTACCACTCAGGTGAGTTAAGGGATTTAACAATTGAAACAGATGGGAGTGGGGTGGGATGGGTGTCTAGAGCTCACTGCATTGCGAAGAGCCAGAATAAACGGGAGAAGAGCTGTCAGCTAGGAGAACAATCAAGACACAGCAAAGGGTAACATCCCAACAGGACAGGGCTTTGCTAGTCTGCAGTGGTTTATGGACCGTTCGTGTGGGTCACTCTTACCAGCCAAGTAGCATAAACCAGCTCCTCTTTCGGGGGTTCATGTTCTGAACTACGAGTCAGCAGGGCTGGGCTCTGTTGCTGCTTTACTTCCCAGGCGACTTGAGCAAATTGTTTTACTTCTCCGAGCCTCAGTTTCCTGAGGATGTGAGGATCTGGCCAGAATATATGTATTTGTGGGGAGCAGTTATCTTTACCTACCCTATCTCACTGCCATCCAGTCAAGTCCGACTCCATGACCCTATAGGACAGAGAGCTTCCCCGGGGGTTTCTGAGAATGAAGTTATTTTACAGAAGTATAAAACTTCATCTTTCTTCGTCAGAGTACCTAGTGATTTTGAAC